CAGACAGGTTGATAAGAAATGTGAGAATACTTACAAGGGGAGATAGATTCAATGTTTGTAATGGCTCAGCCATTCCCAGTCCTTATTCAATTCTGAGTTGATTGTGTCTAGTTTGCATATCAATTCCAGCTCAGCAGTCTCTCGTTGGAGTCTGTTTTTGAAGTTTTTCTGTTGTAATATAGCCACCCGCAGGTCTGTCATTGAATGACAGACTCCAACGAGAGTCTGCTGAGCTGGAATTGATATGCAAACTAGACACAATCAACTCAGGATTGAATAAGGACTGGGAATGGCTGAGCCATTACAAACATTGAATCTATCTCCCCTTGTAAGTATTCTCACATTTCTTATCAACCTGTCTGTACTGGGCTATCTTGATTATCACTTCAAAAGTTTTTTTTCTCTTACTTAATTGGCCTCTCAGAGTTGGTAAGACAACTCCCACCTGTTCATGCTCTCTGTATGTGTGTATATATATCTCCTCAATATTTATTCCACTCTGTATGCATCCGAAGAAGTGGGCTGTAGTCCACGAAAGCTTATGCTCTAATAAATTTGTTAGTCTCTAAGGTGCCACAAGTACTCCTGTTCTTTATGCTTATAAAAATAATTCATACTGATCAGCCATCACTAGCCCTCCCTGCAGCTTCAGAATGTTGCCCCTCTCCCCAAACCCTGGTGTGGTAGCCCCCCTTCTTACCAGGGCATCCGCATCCTATGTTTGTTACAATTGCTTATTGGTTCTTGGGGTGTATTTAGGGGCTGCATCCACACCTTGGGAGTTGGGGGTGGTGAGGGGAAACATGCATAATGTTATCCTTGGCTTGGAAAAGTCCCACCAAAGGTTCCCTGTGATTGGCACTCTAGCAAGGTTCCCAGCTTAATCCATCGATGGGCCCCTCTTAGCAGGATTGTGGAACAAGAGGGGAAACAGGGCGAAATGTTAATGTCACTTTAGGTGGATTCTGGGCAAGCATGTTGCGTGTGGTCACCAATTAGAGAGAATGGTGTAGGGTGGGAGAAGATCACCCATGATGGCAGATGAGGACTTGGCGCTCTATGACTCCTGCCACCTTTTCATCCCACATAGTCTGAGAGGCGACCACTTCTTCCCCTTGGCAACATGTGCCAGTTGACTGCCCCGTGGGTCACGAGAGGCCAGGGGAGAGGGCTATGGCGGGAACAGGCAGGAAGAGGAGCATAAAGAAAGTGCACGGAGATCTCGTCAGTATCAAAAAGGCATTCTGTGGTTCATACCTAGCGGCTGCCTGCCTCCCAGCAAAAGGGCTGCTGCCAGGAGGAGGCAGTAAAGTTTCTCACTGATGTCTCAGTAGTGTCCATAGTCCTCTCCACAGGCAGGTGTGTAGCCCGGTGTGTGTGCAAAGGAGGGACAGCTACCTCCAACATGACTAGGTGCCAGGAGGAGTAAAACCTTGAGTGGAATCCTGTGTCTACATGGAATGAATTTTGAATCCAGCCCCTGGGGTAAAAGAGGGCAATCGGCCTAGAGAAGCCCTTTGGGCAAGGTGCCGAAATCTTGACTTCCACGGGTGACATTTCAGATCCCAGAGGCAGGGTCTTTGGCCGTTCTCTAGGCCTGCCTGCAAGTTTAACACAGAGACACTTGCCATGCCCAGAGTTCAGCCCCTGTCACCTCTTGCTTTCGCGTTACTGGAAAGGATAGCAACACGGGGATGGGAGAGGACGCATGCCGGGCGGGGACAGCCTCAAACCCACTGAGACAATCTTCCCCTAGACTGGTTGGGCTGGCTAACAGAAGCACCAGCTGTGCCGGCAGCAATTAACTGTATTCTTTTGCCCTCACCTTACACTGGGAGGAGCGTGCTTCTGAAAATATCCTTTCATGCACCTTGTCTCCCCACACCAGTGCCCAGACTCCAGAATTTTTATGGAGGAAGGTGATCCAGGCCAGCGGGATGCCATATTCCTTTTCAGGATACACATATGGAGGGGCCAGAAATCATGGAGTTTTGAACAGTCCTGCCCCCCAGATATCCTTTGTGGACTGTCTATTGATTATTTGTTAATGTAGACTACTGATGAGTTCATTTTTCCTAATGCATGACCTGGGCAGTCCATCACAAAGCAGAGATTCAGCCAGCAGAGACTGGCTTTTCAATTTGGCTTTCCATTAGAAACATATAGAGTTGGCTACTGAAGAGCTGCCTGTGAGACGATATTCTTCCTTAGACTGCTGGGGCTCTGTAATTTAGTCTTGCTTCCCCCCCATGAATGGCTCCAGGACTCCTTCTTGGACTACCAAGGCTGAGGTCTTTTTTTTTTCTTTCTTTTTTTTTAACTATTGGAGCTCTTTCACGTAGGCTGACGTCCCTTCGGAAGGTGGATCAGAGTATAAGATGTTTCATAAAAGAAACTCAAGGCTTCTTCAGCTACCTGAGCTCACCCTTGTCATATCTAGACAAAGACAGCCGCACCCCATTCTGGACCAAAGAGTACTTGCCACAGTGGACTGACCACTTCTCTCAGCTTTCTAGCCACTGTATCAGAGCATCTGCTTGGGGAATACCCTTTCAGCTTCATTACCCACACTCTCACTCCAGCCATCTTGTGGCTTTCCATGCACTATCTTGGCTGTCGAGTACGCACCCTCCTCCTTCTTTCTATTCCACAAGGAAGGGCTTCATGGGCTGCTTTCTTATCTAAGCTGTTAGATTAAAAACCAAGAGGCTTTTGGAAACGGTCTCTGCTACTCTCTGATTAGTTGTTCTTGCTGAAGAGGCGAGAGACAGGCCCTGCTACCAAAGCTGCCATCTCAAGGTTAAGCACTGAGTAAATGATTGCCCTTCAGCAGCAACTCACGGTCTTTCAATTAGCAGAGGGGGACACTCTGGAATGTTAAGTAACATTCTCTGGGCGAATGCCTCTCTCTCACGGCGTGTGCAGAGGAATTTTGAATTGTTTCAGGGCTTTTTCAGAGAGAAATTTCTTGACCAGGTTTTCTGTCACTCACTTGAAACTCAGGCAAACTTTCCTCACAGTGTGTGAACAATGAAGTTGCTTGTCAGTGGTAACACAGGGCAGCTTTTTGGCTAGCACACTCAGCTTGGAGGTGTCTGTGGTTCCAATCCCCAGTTTAAGGACCAGTGTTGTGGACGTCGCTACTCTCTCAGTACAGCGGTGGGTGTTAATGACGGGCCAACTTCCAAAGGCTCCTCAGAGGTTTGGCTAAGCAGCACCCAGAAGTTTGGATGCTCATAATAGGCCTGAGCTTTTTCTATAAAATCTCCCCCTCATTGCTGCAATAGCAATGCAGCTCCCCCAAGGCTAAGAACAATAGAAGGGCTAGTACAGGTTAGCCAGTGGTGTTCTGACCACCTAGACCATCTCTGCGCAGGGTTAATGGCATGTTAGAATGCTGCCAGTAGTCTACCCCAGTCCACTGTTGCTAGCATGAGGGGAGCTGCATTGGTAGCTCAGTGACAGTGGGAGATATTCAGAAGAAAGCTCAGTGTAGCTGCAACCTCAAGGGTAGTAGAAGCTGGAAAAATGTGCCTACGACTCAGTCAGGCATGTCTGGGGTCTAATCTGGCCCCTGTCCTTTCACTCCTTTGCCTTGTTAACCCCCTTTTACAGGTAGGAAACCAAAGCATGCTTCTGGGGAGTGTCGTGAAGATCAATTACTTAATGTTTGCACTGGGTTT